TGGAGCCACGCTGCCAATCGCCACCCTCACAACCCCTCTCCGCCCCACAGATCGAGCATCACCACCCCCTAAACACCCTCTGTTGTTGTTATGCTCGACCCCTGCATCCCCTTCTCGTCACTCCTCCTCGCGGTTTCACCCTCCATCGACTTATGATTTACGATTTCTTTTTTCCTTTGTGCTTCCCTTCGTGACTACCTTCACATTCGTTCATATTTCTTTCCGTAGCCGATCAGTCAAATGACGAGCATAAAAGCCCTAAGTTATATTGTATTTATGAAATGATCAAACTAACCCCCTTTTTGAATATTTCTTCAAAGTAAGTCCCAATCCCCAATCATTGACTCCATGTATTCAAAGCAACCCTTCCCTTGATTTATTTTAACCAAATCAGTCCTACTTTTGTTAATTAAATTACCATATAGCCCTTATAGTTGAGTGAATTTAAAAAACAATCCCTATAGTGTAAATTTGTTACAAAACGGTCCCGAAGGTGTTTCAAAGTTCAAGAATCATGGCTTTGTGGTTTTTCACGTTAAGCTTCTCAAAATAAACCGATTTCGTACAAATCGAACTCACGCTTCAAGGGTGAATGCTTACAGTCCCTTTTTTATAATTTTAATTATTTTGCCGGGGGGGGGGGGGGGGGGGAATACATGTGCCTATATACGTTGTTTATACAAATATATTATTGTTTATGCGAAAATACAATAAATCTAGTTTATAAAAATGTTATTTAACAATTTAAAACATTGCTACAAATAAACTAGTATAAACTCTTCGTATATGTATTATAGTTATTTTATCGCGAAATAACTAGTCCACACAACAAATGCTACATGATATAAAAATATATGATTTTTATGTGACATTGTATATCATAAAAAAACACGTCATAAAACTTTGTAGTATTTCAAGGATTCAATCTATTACTATGCATGTATATTTATATGTTTTAATATATAACGTTTATACATGTACATATGTTCATTACTTTGAAACATACATCTTTATAAAAACGAGTAGATTATACTTTTACATACATACCAAGCATACTCGACTTTTATAAACTTTATACAATAAAATTCATTATGCCTAGTGACTTAACCACAATTAAGTTAAGGCTGGGAGCTATTCACATACTTTAGCGAAGGGCTTTTTAGTGAGACTATATTCATTAATTGAGTCTAAACACTTAGCATACCTACACTACTATAACCGCTAATATTTGGAGCGAGATATATAGGTACAGATCTATACGGGGTTAACATCCCCACCTGCGGTAGCTAGTTATAACCTCGACCGATATAAGAAACATTAAATTATGGAAAATATTATCATATTAAATGTAAAATAGATTAATTATAAGGAATACTATCATAATTAAATGTAAAATGCATTAATATTCTTCATAACTAATGAATTTCACATTTATTTATGATAATATTTTCCATAATTAATAGTCATGTTAGAAAATCACTATTTGAAAAAGATTTTGAAAAACCAAGTAAAAAGCTACGACTTAATATTGTGAGCTTACCATTATTCTAAAACCAATTGACTTAAAGCAATACAACACAAGAAACTGAAGAAGCTTGTAATAGAGATCATTCTCTCAATAAAATATATTATAAAGTAAGCTGCATATACTAATCATCATGCATGTTTAAGGTGATTAAATCATCTATTTTATAAGTAACCAATAAAATATACAATATAAATTAGTAACACTTGATAAAATTAAAAGTGTCAACATGTTTGGGATTAGGTAGAGTTGGTGGCCGAGGATAGTCAATAACAGTGTTGCAAAAGTCGGTATAAGCGGCCGATTAATCGGAATCGGGTAGGGGCTGAGGCGTCTAATCACTACTAAAAAAAGGAGGGATTTTCTACGAATATTTCCGAGGAAAAGGAATTTCTCGGTATTACCTACGAATTACCGAGGAAAATCTTAGGATAACCATAAACGCGCTTTTCTCGGAAATCCTCGGAATTTCCTACATTTTTCCTAGGATATTTATAAATACCCAACCTTCCTCGGTATTTCCTTAGGAAACGCCGTTTTCCTAGGAATTTCCGAGGAAAATATCCCTCGGAAAAAGCGCTTTTTTTAGTAGTGAATTAGGAATCGACAAAAAAACTCGGAATCAATCAAAATCTGTCGAAGTCGGAAAAATACGGAATCAGTCAAAATCAGAAAAAAAACGATCAAAATCGGAAAAAAAATCAGAAAAACACAGAAATATTGATTTATTTTAGAAAAAAAAAACTATAATTGTTATTAATATTAATGTATTTTGTTATAATTTTTAATAAACCTGTTACATTTGTTATATATATATTTTTCTTAAAATTAATTTCATAAACGAGTTGTACTATATCCAATATGACTACTTCCCATCTAGACTAAATACTCGACTTGAGTCGATTATCAAAAAAGCATTTAATGAGTTTTGCAACACTGGTCAATAGTGAAATAGTGAAGTAAATAATGGAAGGGCGGTTCGTGCTTCATTGGGATCAGAACCATGATTGATTGTCATATGAGGGACTCAACAGTACACTACTTCTCTGCATCATATTTAACTACAATTTATAATTGTACTTGCCTTCTATTTGTTTATGTAGCTTGTCTCCAAACCAAAAAGGTATTGTAGTTATTTAATTGTAAATATTGTAAAATATATTTTCTATGTGATGAACACACTAAAAAACTTTAACCTATGAATTTAGATCTTTAGCATTTCTTTATTTCCGTCGGATTTGCACCGATTTCATGTAAAAGTTGTTGGCTGATATTTGATGTTACTGAGAACTGTAACATAATATATGTTTAACCTTTTTATAAATAATTTTTTTATCTTAATGTTATAATGAAAATGTTTTGTTAAACGAGCTTTTGCTATGTTCTAAAACATAAGAATAAATTAATGAACTGTTGAAGCCATTTATTAACTATATACGAGAAACATTTGTCCCTAATTAATTGGTTCCATAGCTAATGGATTTGTATGATTGTATCCTGATTGGGAACTAAAAATGGCAAATTCTCTCCCTCCCCATTTACCTATATTATGCTTTACCCTAAAAGCCTTTGACAAGCATTTAAGGGTTGTACGTTACAAGCACACAATGCAAGATATATCAAATCCATTGCCTAATTGAGAATTTATACATCTCCCAAAAGAGAAACCTATCTTTGTGTCTGCAACTCTATACTTTCTAAAGATGGAAATTTTGATCATGACGCTTTACCAAAATTTTCCAGCATTCATGACTGATGGTCACCAATGATATGAAAAGCCATCATCAAACGGTAAAATAACGGTAAGTTAAAAAGAATCAGCATAAAAACTATGCACGACCCTAACACTACTTTGAAGATTTTGTTTGTTGGAAATTATAATATGCTTACAACTTTTTAAAGGTCAATGTTATTAATTAACTAAAAACGTTATGAAGATATGAATACTAATCGTGCATATGTTGTCTTGTGATGTTGTAATAGATGTACTAGCTACTGATACGTTATGGGATACAAGGGTGTAATACTCATATTCCGTCCTATATGTTTTCGATCTATATGATTTTTGTTCTATATTATCAGTCTTTAATTTTTTATGTTAACAAAGTAATTAAGTAAATGATGTGTGTGCCAAATATAAGAAACCCTAATCTTCCATATGTATTCCACCTATTTTATTTCTTGATTATCTCATTTAGTACATATATTTGATGAAATAGGATCAAATTTCTGGTAGACGTTAACAATGTACATACAATTTTTTTAATAACATTAAGAGTACATAAGTTAAGAAAGTACAAAACCTAATCATTAACGTTTGACGTTTTTGTCCTTATATTTTTATCTGACGTTTCTGTGGCAGTTGCTGTCTGTATAAAGTTATCACCATATAACAAATCAAAGGACGAAAGGTCGAAAAAAAGGACCTAGAGACATAATGCCATGAAAGATGCAATAATGGTGTCCCTATATGTTTGCCAAAGATTTTTAGTCATGTCGCTATTGATCGAATGATCATTGCCAAAGGTTCACAACTATAAGAGCATTATGCATATGAACTTTTTCATTTCAATGTCCTTTGAAACCCCAGTGGACCTGAAATCATAAAGAAACAAGAGAACGCAGAGGGATTCACAAGTGGAATTTAGCTATATATGGACCCAAAAAAATGTGATATATTACAAAAATTTAAAGCTTCTTTTTCGACATTGTGAAAGCGTTGTGACACCGTTAAATGAGATCTCTGTCTACCATGTATTATTGCACTGTGTGATAACGAGATGCATGTTCATTTCTGTTCTTGCTTTTCATTTTCATTTTCTGCAGATTGTGTAGCACGAGTTGCAGCAGAAACTAAGGTCAATGGCATGTTACTTTGTTTGATCAAATTTAGTTAAATTTCTTGCTTTGGATTTAATGAAAAAGTTAGGAGATCTCTAGAAAGTTACTGGCATTAATAGGGTCAAATTCTCATTGTCTTTTACTTGTGTTCGTTGACATTCAGCTAATTTTCTTTCCTAATTAAATCGTACGCAAATGTAATCCGATTTTAAGAACTTTATATATATTAAATGGTGATAGAGCCAAATTCTGAGATGGCTAATCTCCTTTCTACTAACAAAATTTAAGAACACAAACCGAAACAATTTTCTTTCTCTTCATAAAAAGGAATTACAAAGCTTTAAATAACAAGTGCAATCTACCACTAATGCCTTGAAATATGCAGGAAATGAAATCGTGGGCTACTACTTACTGTAATCTAAATGCTTATTAAAAGGATATGCATGAGAAAATAAAGGAAAACTAATGCATGATGTATGACCAAGTAAAGAAAGATGTAGAAGTCTTCCAAGTAACTTCTCTGTTGACCATGTGACTAGGATGTCGTATCAATACTCCGCCCCTAAAAAACGGCCTTGTCCTCAAGGCCAAAGTCATTTTGTTGCAGGTCCGGCCATGATGGATCGTTGTCTGATTAAAGAAGGAGGAACTTGGGCGGGTTGCACTGGTGGCCGGGTTGATACTTGGCTGGACAATTGTAACAGAGGCCTTCAGCCCTTCGTTGTTGCATTTCGGTGGGACTCAGTTTCTTGATTGGAAGTGGTGGGGAAGTGGAAGGCGAGGCAGCCAACAAGGGTAGAGTCGGTGGTGGTGGTTCCGATTTACCAGCAACAAGATGAAGGTTATCATGGAGCTTGTCTTCAATTAATTTGGCGAGACCATAAGTGGCATGAAGTGTTTGCGGGTTATGGATGACAATCTCTGATTGAATGTCGGGACGTAAACCGGAGATAAAGCAGTTACGCGGTGGGGGTGGTGGAATGGTGTAGTAGGTGAAGTAATTCTCAGCTTGGAAAATCCAATCGAGTGGGTTGGAACCGTCAAAAGTCGGCAGGAGAATTTTCGGTGGTCGGAGGGTCTGATTCGGTGGGGGTGGTGGCGGTGGCGGTGGTTGCTGGTTAACATGTTGGTCGGTCAGGATTTGGATCAATTTGTCGAGTTTGGCGTTGGTATCGGTGGTAATTTGATCGATATGAAGCATGTGGGCATGAAGGGCGGCGACTGGGTTGTCGGCGGTGGTGACCTTGGGGTTGTCGGAGGTGGAGCCGCTGTGTTCTGACTTGGGAGTCATGAGAACGAATGATGAAAGCACCAATTGATAGAGCCAAATTCTGAGATGGCTAATCTCCTTTCTACTAACAAAATTTAAGAACACAAACTGAAACAATTTTCTTCTCTCTTCATAAAAAGGAATTACAAAGCTTTAAATAACAAATGCAATCTACCACTAATGCCTTGAAATATGCAGGAAATGGAATCGTGGGCTACTACTTACTGTAATCTAAATGCTTATTAAAAGGATATGCATGAGAAAATAAAGGAAAACTAATACATGATGTATGACCAAGTAAAGAAAGATGTAGAAGTCTTCCAAGTAACTTCTCTGTTGACAATGTGACTAGGATGTCGTATCAAATGGTCAAGCATGTTTTTGAGTTTTGTTTGGTGAAATCGAGATAGATTTTCTTCTTTCATTCTATAAAGAAAATGTATGGGAGTTACTAACATTGAAAATATACGTTCAATCTTTACAGTTTTGACCACATTTTTGGTGAAATCGAGTTGACTTATTTTCATGCTTTGAATTTAAAGCAGATTTATGGTTATTCCAAAAAAAGTTATGAACATTAAACTGGTCAACTTTGATATTAATAATTTGAATGGTTATATTGGAGGAACGATCAAAATGTCAAGATTTTGACTTCTGCTTTGCAAATAATCTTTGTAACGAATTTCACGAAATTGACAAGCTTTATTTTCATGTTTTGACCTTCCTTTTTTATGAAATTGAGTAACGGAGATACTAATAAAAGTTACAAACATTCTAATGGTCCTCAAACTCAAACATATGTTTGATAAAATTGGATTAATATTTTTATGTTATAATAAAATATCAGGACGGGGCTACAAGAAGGCTACAAACATCAAAACGGAGATCACCAAATTCTCATGTGATTGAATATTGTTTAGAAAATTAGAAAATTAAGAAACCTAATCGGCCACTTTAGACTTCTCATCCCGGCGGGATCAAACACACGCTACATACGTCCGCTTATTCTTTTGCTTTATTTTTTTTGGATCACCTCTTCATTGGAAGGGTTCATCGGATATACTTCTTCTTTAATTGTTGGATCGATAAAATAGTTAGGGAATGAGAATTGTAACATCCCAAAAATTTCATAAAATTTAAACCTTTCAAAACAACATTTTTTTTCTATAGAAGCGTTTACAAAAACGTTGTTCCCAACATTATTTAAAAATCAGAATCTCTCTCAACATAGTTTCCAAAACATCCACATTATTAGAGTTTTCCTGAAATCATAAGTCCAAAACGCGAGGATGTGTACGGTCCTTGCCACGATCCACTGAAGTACCTGAAATCATAAACCAAAACTGTAAGCACGAAGCTTAGTGAGTTCCCCCAAAGTACCAACACCCAACATATAACATATACAACTAACAACATGCATAAAGAGCCTTCAACATGTCCGGACAGCCTCACAAGGCCTACAACCTGTCTGGACCGCTCTCGGGCCTTTGGCATGACTGGACCGCCTCGCAGGGCCTACAGCCTATCCGGACCGCTCGTCGGGCCTCCGACATGACTGGACCGCCTCGTAGGGACTACAGTCTATCCAAGCCGCCCTAGGTCTGTTGGCCTTCAGCACAAATCCTGACCACCTCAACCCAACCACACACACACACATGTCGACATATACATAGCAATTAAATACATAACCAGTCAACAAACAAACAGGCATATCTTACAGATCACTAAGCATGACATCATCCTATCTATCAGGATACAGATCCAACAGATCATAACTGTATAGTAACATCCTATCTACCAGGATACCGATCTAACAGATCATATCAGCACTCAATCATAAGATAAACCAGGATAACAATCCAAAAGGGCTGGCATTGGTGCATTCGACCCATAAGTACAGTGAGGAAAACTCACCTCGAATGCAGAAGCTCCCCAAAAGAAATCCCTAGCTGTTGCCCTTCCGGCTTCTCGAGCTATCAATACCAACAACACACCCAATCATGAGTCGGATAATTCGCCTCATGAGGCTTCAGCTGCCTCAAAGCGTAAGCGATCACGCGACCCCGCTGCATCAAAACTGCACCCAAACCCGTGATTGATGCGTCACAATAAACCACAAAATCATCAACACCCTCTGGCAGGGTCAGAATCGGCGCCTCACACAATCGCTGTCTAAGAGTCTCAAAAGCTGCCTGCTGCTCAGGCTCCCAACGAAATGTCACTGACTTCTTGGTCAGTCGGGTCAATGGAACATCAATCTTAGAGAAATCCTGGATAAATCTCCGATAATAACCCACCAAACCAAGAAAACTACGAATCTCAGATGGAGACCTCAGAACCTCCCACTGCATCACAGCCTTGACCTTGGCCGGATCGACCAGAATACCCTTCTGATTGACAAGGTACCTCAAGAACTGCACCTAGCGCTACCAAAACTCGCACTTGGAGAACTTTGCAAAAAGTTTCTCCCTCCTCAAAGTCTCCAGCACCTCTCTGAAGTGCTCCTCATGCTGCTCCTGCGTCTTGGAATAAACCAAGATATCATCAATGAAGACTATCACAGACCGATCCATCATCAGCTGCACATACGGTTCATAAGATCCATGAACGCGGTGAGTGCATTGATGAGCCCAAATGGCATCACCACGAACTCATAATAACCATAGCGAGTCCGAAAATCTATCTTCTACACATCCTCGTCCATAAATCGCATCTGATGATAACCTGATCACAGATCAATCTTGGAGAACTAAGATGCACCCAGAAGCTGGTCGAAGAGATCCTCAATCCTCGGGAGTGGATAACGGTTCTTCACTGTTACCTTATTCAACTCCCGGTAGTCGATGCACATGTGATGAGACCCATCCTTCTTCTTCACGAACATAATCGGTGCTCCCCAAGGCGAACTGTTCGGCCTAATAAATCCTTTGTCTAACAACTCCTGCACCTATGTAGATAACTCCTGCATCTCGGGAGGAGCCAACCGATAGTGTGCTTTGGCTATCAGAGTCGCACCTAGAACCAAATCAATCTTGAACTCCACCTGTCTCTCCAGAGGCACCCCAGGCAGATCCTCCGGGAACACATCCGGATACTCCCGCACTATCGGCAAATCGTCCATGGTCGCCTTACCCTTATCCTCGGTATCCATTACATAGGCGATGAAACCTGCACAACCCTGATGAAGATAGCGTCTGGCCCTCGTTGCAGAACACATAACCGGTGCATGTTGCGGTCTCTCACTCCGAATCACCAACTCTCCCCCACTTGGGGTCAGAACACGAACCAACTGCTGCTCACAGTCGATCACTGCCCCATTAGGGCTCAATCAAACCATGCCCACGATAACCTTGTTCCCACGCAAAGGAGTAGGAACCAGATCCACCGGATACTGCTCGCTAAATAACTGAAGGGTACACCCCCGATGAACCCTCGCAACCCGAATAGATCTATCATCAGCAATCTACACATCAAGAGGGCGATTAAGCTCTCCTGGAACTCCAACAAATCTCTTGCTTAGCACAATAGATACAAAAGATTGGGTAGCCCCCGAATCGAATAATGCCCAGGCGGAGATACCATTCACGAGGAACGATCCTAAAATAAAACACATAAACATAAGCAAAGTTTCAATATAAATAAAGAGATATGGAGAGGATACATACCCATCACAACATCAGGAGTTGCACACGCCTCCTCCGCCATCAGCTTGAACGCCCTGCTCTTCGCTGCTGGCGTATCTGTTCGGCCCTGACGGCCGTCAGTAATCCTCAATGTCGTAGGAGCAGGTGCTGACACCGGTCCTGCTGCAGCCAAACTCGGACATTAGGCCTTCTTGTGGCCCCTCTGATTGCACTGAAAGCAAATCAGACCAGATACCAGGGTGACGGTGGTCGTAGCAGTACAATCTCTACAGATGTGACCAGTCCGACCGCACTTGAAGCATCCAGAACCACCCGCCCTGCACGCTCCCTCGTGCGATCTGCCGTATTTGCCACAACGGCGTTGGCCCTGTTGGCCCTTCCCACTCGTATCAACCACCTTGGGCCTCTTGCCTGAACTCTCAACACTGATCACAGGATATGGCTTCCTCTTCTTCTCCATCTCCAAGTCAATCTCTCTCTCCCTAGCCCTCGCTATCATGTCTTCCAGCGTCTTGCACCTGGATCGGCTCACAAACTGTCGGATATCGCTCCTCAACATCTCGTGGTATCGGGTCTTCTTCATCTCCTCGTCTGCCACATACTTTGGAACCATAAGTGCCCTCTCCTTGAACATAGCGGTGATCCCAATCACCGTCTTAGTAGTTTGACGGAGATCCTGAAACTCTCGCGCCAGCTGCTGCACCTCGATCAACGGTGCAAACTCGGCTCGAAACCTGGTCGAGAAATCACTCTAGGTCATCGAATCAATAGCAACATCATCTCCTATATCATGCCCTACCTCCTCCCACCAATAAAGAGCCCTGTCCTTCAGGAGGCAGGAAGCTAGTCTGACCTTTTCCTCCTCGGGACAACGGCTGGTACGAAAGGCGTTGGCAACATCTCCGAACCACCTGCTGCTCGCAATGGGGTCCCTGACCCCATAATAGTCTAGTGCTCCACAAGCCCGAAACTCCCTGAAGATCAGAGAGTGTGTCCCGATCAATGCCACAATCTCAGCGCGGAAGGCGCTCAATCTCTCATCAAGAATCTCCTGAATACCCTCCTTGACCGAGCCAAAAATCACAGGAGTCTGATCAAGGATACTGCGCGTAATATCAGACGAGATGAACTCCCTCGTCTGGTCATCAAGCTGCCCGACTCCAGAACCCGAGCTTGAACCCTCCCCGACACCGAAACTGCCCACTGGCCTTCCTCGCAATACCACCATACTGAAAATAGACATAAACTTTCCGAATAAGCATCAATGCGCATATCGGGGAAATCATTACTACACAAGCTCACTGGCTACATTACAGCCCTCCTTGAATCGAGTACGGATCCTCTGCTTCCAGTAGTATGTGCCCATACTATCTTCCA